ACACACACACACACACACTGGGCCTTGTGGAGAACAGGGCTCAGAGGAGCCAGACTGAATTGACCATTGAGGCATCCCTGTCAGTGTGAAGTGGTGATAACTGATGTTTCGGAGCCTCAGTGATCACTGTCATTCTGGAGGAGCCAGGAACGCTGACTGTATCTGGAGAAGCTTTCACCACCTGAACATCATTAGAAAGACCTCTCTGCTCTGAGGCCTCAGTTTTGTCCTAAGCCCAAGTCTTCTAAGACCTGGCCAGGGGTTGCTCCAAGCAGCCTGGCCACAATTCAGGCCGGGGGGAGGGTGACGGAGGAGACTAGTTATAGACATTGTTACTGGTTGGGACCCTGGCCTGGCAGCTATGAGACCTTAGGTTCCACATTTAGGGAAAGAAATGTAGCATTAAAGTCATTGTAACTCTTCACACTCTTCATGGGTCCAAAGCCCTGTTCCTAACCTGGTAGGGTTACCGCTACATTTGAGGAGAAGTTTATTTGTTTATTTGGGTACTAGGGATTGAACTCAAGCCCGTCCCTTTTTTCTATTTTTTATTTTGAGACAGGGTCTCACTGTGTAGTCTAGGCTGGCCTTGAACTCAAGATCCTCCTACCTTAGCTTCCTGAGTGCTGAGATTATAGGCTGCACCAGAGTGTTTGACATCTCTATCATCACCATCTACGGAGAACTCTTTTCATCTTGCAGAACTGAAACTCGGTAGCCTTCGAACAAAACTCATTTCCCTTTCCTCTAGCCGCTGGCAACCACTGTTCTCCTTTCTGTCTCTGAATCTGACTGCTCTACCTATGTTACTGTGGTGTATGTACTGCCTTCTGCTTGTCCGTTAATCCATCAGTGGAAATTTGGGTTTCTTCTACGTTTTAGCTGTTGTGAATAATGCTACTATAACATGGTGAACACATTTGTCTTCCAGAGTTTACTTTTGATTCTTTTCATTATATATATAAATAAATGAGATCAGACAGGGCATGGTGGTACATTCCTATAATCCCCGAATTTGGGAGGCTGAGACAGGAGGAGTGCCGTGAGTTTGAGGCCAGCCTGGGCTCCATAGTGAGTTCAAGGCCAGCCTGAACTACAGAGTGAGACCATGTTTAAAAAAAAAAAAAAAATTAGAGGCATGTGCCACCATACCTGACTGAAAACAGTGACATTTAAAGTCAACTACAGGGGCTGGGGATTTAGCTCAGTGGCACAGCACCTGCGTGGCAAGCACAAGGTTGTGAGTTCGATTCCTGGTACTGGGGAAAAAAAAAACTAAAAAAAAAAAAGTCAACTACAAGTAAGCGCAGAGTTAAGTCTCAGGTGTATCTAGGTTCCCCTTGGTTACAGGAGAAACCATGACCCCTGGCCCAGGACCCATGTCCTGGGGCAGCCACTCTACCCGCTCCTCCAGGGGCCATGGGAGCGAGTACTGGCGATGAAGTCAGTGCTGGGTCTGGGGCGTTCACGGCCACCTCGGCAGAGGTTCCGAGTGGGCAGGAGGATTCTCAATCACCCTACAGGCTACGGCTACACCACGCCACTGACAGACGCAGGCAAGGCCTTCTCCCTCGCCTTTGCGCTCCTGGGCGTGCCGACCACCATGCTGCTGCTGACTGCCTCGGCCCAGCGCCTGGCGCTGCTGCTGACACGCGTGCCCCTGTCTTGGCTGAGCTTGCGTTGGGGCTGGGACCGCCGGCGGGCCGCCCGATGGCACCTGGTGGCCCTGCTGGCCGTCGTGGTGACCATCTGCTTCCTGGTGCCGGCTGTGGTCTTCGCATACCTGGAGGAGAACTGGAGCTTCCTGGATGCTTTCTACTTCTGCTTCATCTCTCTGTCCACCATCGGCCTGGGAGACTACGTGCCCGGGGAGGCCCCGGGCCAGCCCTACCAGGCCCTCTACAAGGTGCTGGTCACAGGTGAGCTGGTGGCTGGCTGGGGCCCCCCGGGGACACAGGCATTGCCTTATGGGGGGGCGGGGCATCTCCTGGCTTCCAAGAGGGATGCCACCCCAGCCTGGGGCACTGCAGAACGGTACCCCTGCCCCGGGGATCAGAACCCGCGTGGACCCCGTGCCTCTCCCCGTGTCCCCGCAGTGTACCTCTTCGTGGGCCTGGTTGCCATGGTGCTGGTGGTGCAGACCTTCCGCCACGTGTCCGACCTCCACGGTCTCACAGAGCTCATCCTGCTGCCCGATCCATGCTCCGCCAGCCTCCGCGAGGAGGAGACTGACCAGGTGGACATTCTGGACTCCCAGCCGGACCTGCACGAGCAGCTCTCTGTCAGCTCCCACGCCGACTATGCCTCCATCCTCAGGTAGCCGGGCGGGCGCCTCGAGGCGGCAGGACCCACGGACAGAGCCGACCAGTCACGACTCTCCATCCTGTGTGCGGGAGGCATAGTCACCAACTGTCCGTCTCGTCCCGGTTTACAGTGGCGGGCTGGGCGGCAGGGCTGACCACTCTCGGGGTCCTCTGGGCACCAGAATGACCCTGCTCACCTCCCTCCGTCCCCCTTTCGCTCACTGTCTGGCCACTCTGGCGCCCCGCCGTTCAGCCCTGTCTCCATCTCTTGCCATCTGTCTCACTCCCTCAAACACTCTGTTTCGCTCTCACTCGGCAGCTCATCAGCTGCTGACTGTACCAGGCTCTGGGCCTGGACCTCATTCTGGCCCTAGGTTGGTCACCCTGCCTCGGTCCAGTGGCTGTCCCTCTCTGGGTCTGGATTTCCCCAGATGTCAGACGGAAAGCAACTGGCCATTCATCCAGAGACCCTTCCTTTGTGCTGACCCTGTGCTAGACAGCGTGGGGACACAGTAGTGGTGGGGGGTAGCCCTGGGCTCGCCTGTCATGGGGCGCACAGACCAGTGCGGTAGGCAGACCTGTTCTCAGACAGTGACAGTCCCAAGCAAGCGGGACTTCAGTGGAGGTGCCAGCGGGATCAGGGATGCCATGGAGAAAGCACAGGCAGAGTGGCAGGGCTGGGGGAGGCACAGCCCTTTGGGAGGGCTTCCCGGAGGAAGGGACAGTTCCACTAAGAGCTAGCTGGGTGGTGCATGCCTGTAATCCCAGCACGCTGGAAGGATGAGGCGGAGGTGCAAGGCCGAGCCCAACTTGGGCAACTTAGTGACTTAGTGAGACCCTGTCTCAGAATTAAAAATAAAGGGCTGGGGTGCAGCCCCGTGTGAAGCCCTGGGTTCCATTCTGGTACTATGAGCACATTTAACTAAGACCTGAATGTGAGGAGTGGTCAGGGGAAGCAGTCGCCCCTGATTTATTTTTTCTCAGGTGTCTCCAGGGAGTAGCACCCATATGGAGAGCCCTGGAGTGGGCCTGGGTGGCAGCATCCTCCTCAGCATCCTGGCAGGCGGGAAGGGGACAGGACCACAGCCCAGACCCCGGGGGCTTGGGAAGGTGCTGGTCCCAGCATGGCTGCAATGCAGCAGCCGTGCTTGTGTCCTGAGCACTAAATTCATGACCTACCCGGGGCTCAGCCATGTCCTGCCTGTGTCCCCAGGCAGCCATACTACCTCTCAGGCTCTGTTTCTATAAAAGAATGACCTTAAGGTGGTGATCACCTTCAAAAACTGATTTTGTAGAGCCTGCCATGTTTTTTTTTTTTTTTTTTTTTGGTTTTTCTCTGGTACCGGGAACCGAACTCACGACCTTGCGCTTGCCAGGCAGGCGCTTTTTGCCACTGAGCTAAATCCCCAGCCCCAAGCCTGCCATGTTGTTAGGTGACATTCGCTTTGGCCAGGCTTGTTCTGGGTACTTTATATCTGAGGGAAATAATATCATCCTCTTTCTACAGCAGTGACACTGAGGAAGGGCAACCTCTTGGCTTCGTCACTAAGTGAGGATGTGGTGGGTTTCAGGTGCAGGCCCCAGCCGGGCCACCTCCTGAGATGGCTCATCTCTGTGCTAAGGGCCCCTCGCTGCGCTCTCCAGCTCTGCACATGCTGTGAAAGTGACAGAAGGGAGGTAGGAGCTGGGTATGGTGGTGCCCACTTGTAATCCCAGCACTCTGAGAGGCTGAGGCAGGAGGGTCAAAAATTTGACCCCAACCTGAGTGATTTAGTGACTTAGTGAAATGCTGCCTCAAATTAAAAATTTTAAAATAGGCTGGGGATGTAGCTCGGCAGAAAGGTTCTAGGTTCAGTCCCCAGTACTGCAAAAATAGATGGATAGATGGATAGGTCAATGAAAGGGGCATCAGGCAGTCACTTGGCCCACAGGGCCAGCGCTCCGCTCCCAAGTGGTCAGTGGAGATGGAGATGCAGAGATGTGGGAGTTCAGGACCCGGAGGGAGTGAGCGCAGGCCAGCCATGGGCATGAGGCAAAGGGTGTTTATATTTTGTTTATATCACAGGAGAGATTTTGGTTTTGACTAACAAAACCTTGACTGGTGCTGGCTGAAATAAGACAGTTATACTGCACACCAACAAAGAGAGGGAGAGCTCCAGGAATGATTCTATCCACAGCAATGGCAGAGTCTTGTAGCCCCAGGTGGCCCTGTCTCTGCTTGGTCACCCTCAGCTACAGGCTTGGCTCCTATGAGTGCCCCCCTCATGGTCCCAAATGGCTGCCACAGATCCAGACATCACAACCAGATGTGATAATGTCTCGTGCAAGCAGTGACCTCAAACCAGTATCTTGGTACGAGAAAGAAGAGCTGACAAATAAGGCAGAAAAAGTGCAGGGCACAGAGGAATGGGAACACCAGGAAGGTGGAGAGTATTAGCAACAGAAGTGAGAATTTTAAGGAGGGAGAATCAACGCTGTCATTCCTTGCTAAAAAGTGACAGAAGATTGTTCTAATGACGATGATAGTAAATCCTTACATAGGGTTTACTGTGCATCAAGTACAGTTCCAAGAACTATGTGTATGTTTTTCACCCTCTCAGCAGTCCTGTGGATTATGTACATGATCTACATTTTACAGATGAGAAAAAGGGGCTCAGAGAGGGTAAGTAACCTGCCCAAAATCACACAGGAAGTGTGTGATAAAATTGGGATTTGAACAGGTTTTGTTTGGTACTTTTTCCCACAGGAGTTCAGAATACCCAGAGTCTACCTCTCTCAGCCTCGCAGGCTTGCCAGCTTCTTACCAAGGTCATAGCTGACCTTACTGCCAAATTCACCATGGGGTGAGGAGACAGCTGCTTGTCATCTTGTTTCTTTTGTTTGTTTTGTTTTGAGACAAGATCTCACTATATAATCAGGTTGACCTTTTTTTTTTTTTTTGGTACCAGGAATCGAACTCATGACCTCAGGCTTGCCAGGCAAGCGCTTATGCCACTGAGCTACATCCCTGGCCCAATCAGGCTGACCTTGAATTCACTATATGCACAGCCTGGCCTTGAACTCACAGTGATCCTCCTGCCTCAGCCCCCGAGTGCTAGATTACAAGGCACCAGGACCATAGGCATGCACCACCATGGCTGGCTGCTGGCTCGCTTCTCATCTTCTTCAGAGAGGTGCCTGTGTGCTCTGGCTTCCACTCCTGCCTGTGATTCTTTCTAAATTCCTCTCGAGAAAGAACATGGTAGCCAGGTGTGGTGGCACATGCCTGTAAGCCCAGCACTCGGGAGGCTGAGGCAGGAGGATCGCTGTGAGTTCGAGATCAGACTGAGCTACAAAGAGAGCTCAAGGCCAGCCTGGACTGCATAGCGAGACCCTGTCTCAAAACAAACAAACAAAACAAAACAAAACAAACAAAAAAACCACTGAAAGCCAGGTCCGGGTCAGTTTAAGACATTAAACAAGGGGGCTGGGGATTTAGCTCAGCAGCACAGCACCTGCCTGGCAAGTGCAAGGTCGTGAGTTCGGTTCCTGGTACCAGAAAAAACAAACAAAAAACAAAAAAGACATTAAACAATAAAAAAGTATGTTGTGTGGGAAAAACTCTGGAGGAAACTGGGGGAGCTGAGAGTGCATACGGCGGGTCTCTCTGTCCCCCTCCTGCTGTGTTCTGTGCAGACCCCAGCAATATGTGCAGCAGCGACCTAGCACAGGATTTCTGGTGATTGCAGGCTCCCGAGGCAGAGGCCCTGGCTCCAAGTCTGAAATCTGTCACTCCCAGGCTGTGTGGCTGTGGGCAAGTGATCGCATCTCCCTGAGCCTCAGTCTGCTCATCTGTGAAATGGACTGCAAATGTACTACCTCATGAACTCAGTCAGCAACCTGATAATACCTGTAAAGCCATCAGAGCAGCGGCTGGGACCCAATCAAATGTTGCCTGATTTTTCTTCTCTTTTCTGCCCTCTGTCTCCTTATATTATAGATGTAATAAAATATCAATATTTTATTTTAATAATGTGTTCTATTATCCTCATTTCTGCACCTTGCTTTTTTTAACCATAGTATATGTCAGAGATCATGCCCCAGACATACAAGTAGGTCCTTTTTATTTATTTTTTCAATACAGGGTCTTGCTTTGTAGTTCAGGCTGGCCTTGAACTCACAGAGGTCCTCCTGCCACAGCCTTCGAAGTGCTGGGATTACAGGCATGTGCCACCATACCTGGCTCTGTGTGTGTGTGTGTGTGTGTGTGTGTGTGTGTGTGTGTGTGTTTGTAGTACTTGGGATTGAAATCAGGGCCTTGTACATGCTAGGCAAGTGCTCTACCACTGAGCTACATCCCCAGCCCAGTAGGTCCTTTTTGTACCTGCAGTGGCTCCTTAGGACACGCTGCACACATCATTCCAGCACCCCTGTGGATAGGTGTGTGGGCAGCTTTATCTTTTGCTGGTAAAACAATGCTACACTGAACACCTTGTACTTCAAGATCTAACAAAGCACCCTAGCCCTCTGGGGGTCTGGGTTCCCCAGCTGGGGGCCGTTAGGAGAGCCTGGTCACACAGACTCTGGGGAAGCTAGAAGAGTGTGGGAGTACTCTTAGGATGAAGTCACCCTCCCTGGCCTATGGGGTGGTGCTGTGCTGGACAGGTCGGGGAACAGTGACACAGAAAGCCCAAGCCTCTGCCCTCATAGAGCTCCAGATCCAGTGAGAGGAAAATCTGTCTCTAGCTGGGTGTGGGTGCACATGCTGGTAATCCCAGCACTTGGGAGGCTGAGGCAGGAAGGTCGCTGCAAGTACAAGGCCTGTCTCAAAAAACAAACCAAAAAAAAAAAGCTCCACAACAACCTGTCTCTAGCCACTCACGGCCTGCAGCGGTCAAAGGATGAGATGCATGCCTGTTGTGTGTCAGATAAAGCCCAAAGGAGGGCTGGGGGTGCAGCTCGGGGGTAGAGCACTTGCCTGGTGTGTGGGCAACCCTGGACAGGATCCCCAGCACTTTAAAAAATGAAAAGCCTGAGGCGAGGAAAGGGCCGCTGCAGTGATGAGTCAGGAAAGTGCAGCAGAGGGTGTGAGTGTGTGCACAGGTCTGGAGAAGAGATGGCGCCTGCAGGGATATTCCAGTCACTCCGTGCCACCGGGCAGCAAAATAGAGATCTGCGGGGAGAAGGGGCAGGGATGAGGTTACGCAGGGCTCTACGAACCTCAGGAATCTGGAGGTCCTGGAGCTCAGGCTCTCAGAGAGGTGGCCCCCAGGCATCGGATCCCTATTCCCTGTGAATTTGCTAGGATACAAATTCTTGGCCCCACCTCTGACCTACCTGAGTAAACGCTCTGGGGGGAGAGCCCACCAGCCTCTCTGAAGCACTCTTTTTGGTGAGTCTCACATGAAGTGAACTCAAATTTGAAAAGCACTGGTTGGGGCTGGGGATATAGCTCCGTGTACCACGCCTGCCTGTGAGGTTGTGAGTTTGATTCCCTAGGACCAAAAAAAAAAAAAAGGAAAAGCACTGGTTAACAGTCATTTTGTACTTCATCAAAAAGTCCTGTCAAAAGAAACAATTACAACAAATTTATCTCACTATAGAGTTCAGGCTGGTCCCCAGCTCACAGCAAGCCTCTTGCCTCAGCCTCCTAAGTGCTTCCATTACTGGGGTACACTGCCATGCCCGGCTACAACAGAGATTGATGGTCTTAAATGGCTTTTATTTTTTAATTTAAAAAATTTATTATTATTTGTGATTTTAGAATTGGCCTTGTACCAGGCCTGTTTCACCTGCTGTACGGTAGTACAATCACAGAAATGAAAGATAGTTTATTCACAAGGGAGCAAGGGTGGAGACAAGACAGCAAGTCTCAAATCTGCCTCCCCAAGGGCAGGATTTAGGGATACGTGCGGGACGCCAGGAACAGGCTGATTTAAGGTGAGTGAATGGTGGCTGGAAGTGAAACCATCGTAATTTTCACATGTGTAACCAATTTTTGTAGTTCTTAGGATACGTGTTCAGAAAATGGCAGTATGATCTGAAGGTAGAGTTTTCTTCCTCCTGAAGTCAAAGAAGTCACCCATCTGATGCTTGCACAGACCCAAGTGAAGTGTACAAGTTTTCAACAAAATTTTCCTTCCAAGTCCCTGAAAAGTAACCTAGGTAAATTTTTCTTTGGTCTTTTTGAGACATGGTCTCGCTATGCAGTTCAGGCTGAACTTGAGCTCACTTTGTAGCCCAGGCTGGCCTCAAACTCTCAACGATCCTCCTGCCTCAGCCTCCCCAGTGCTGGGATCACAGGTGTGCACCACCACTCCCAGCTAATAACCTAGGTAAGTATTATCACTTAATAGCAAAGCTAGTGGGAGACTAATAACATTGCTCAGCATTGGGGCCTCCAAAATTAGTGATTTTTAAAATCAAGTAACAAGTAACAGCAAGTCACTAAAAGCAAGTGAAACCAGAGAGTTGATTCAGGTTTTACCCAGTTTCAAAGTCAGGCAGTATCTCATTCAAAGGAAATGAGCTGAACTGAGGTCACTGGTTTTACAGACAGAGAAGATTGAGGAAAAAAAAAAAAAAAACAGAACAAAAACTAGGCAGGCACTGGGTTTAATGCCCCAATGCACAGGGTGGGGGCGGATATCTTAAAAATGGAACAGGACAGTCTGACATGGTGATGCACACCTGTAATCCCAGCCCTCTGGGAGGCTGAGGCAGAAGGATTGAAAAATTCAACCTACCTGGGCAAGTTAGTGATTTAGCTAGACTTTGTGTCTAAATACATTTTTTTTTTTTTTAACTCAGGACATTGTGCTTGCCAGGCAGGTGCTGTGCCACTGAGCTATATTCCCAGCCCTAAATAAATGTTTTTAAAAAGAGGCTTCAATCACCAGTCCTGAAACAAACAATTGGACAGCTTCTTTCAGTTACTTTCCTTGAAAAGGTTAAAGTAGAGGGAACGCCTACCTAAAACTGGCCTATATGGGGATTTGGCTTTAAAATTCTACTGCTTGCTCAGATTAGATAAACTTAATTTCCACTTGGTGACATGGAACTTCAGAATGAATGGCTACATTTTGGTTTGGCCAGTTGGACCAAGTGCTTAGTCCAAAGCAATGACCTCCTACACATTTTATTTAACGTCCTTAACCGTCAGTCCTAACCTTAATTTATTTAATAATAAATTTTTAAATTTATTTTTCCTGTGCCTTGTTGACTTCCCACAATACCTATATGAGAAGGGTGCCCATCTCTACATTTTTCAACGGCAGATGAGGCGTTGGGATGTGGCACTGTTGTCGAGTAGTTACTTTGAAAATGGCTCACCAAAAAAAAGTGTTCCAGGTCCTTCTTGCCTCGAACAAGGAACTGGACGAGACAAGCTAAAAAAAAACGATGCCAAAAGTTTATTTTAAAATGAAGGGTGGGTGGGTGTGGTGGCGCACGCCTGTGATTCCAGCCCTCGGAGGCTAAGGCAGGAGGATCGATGCAAATTCGAGGCCTGGGCTACAAAGTGAGCTCAAGGCCAGCCTGAACTGCACAGCGAGATCCTGCCTAAAAAAAAAAAAAAAAAAAAAAAGAGAGAGAGAGAGAGAGAAGGGAAGAACCAGCTCTGCAGAGCAAACATAGGTGAACATAGGTGACAGAGAGAGGCAGTGAGCAAAAGAGAGAGAATAGAAAGTAACAACAAAAGTACATCCTGGTTCTGGGAGACCCGGGACGGGATATCGTGTGAGCAAGCTCTTCCTGGAGTCGCCTCTCTTTTATACCGTCCAGATGTCGTGGGCACTGAGTTATGTGGCACAGCCCTGGGATCTTGAAATTGACAGGTCCTGTCTATTTCTCCAGCTCAGCCCTAGGATCTGTAGTTGACAGGTCCTGCTTATTTCCCCAGCCAGCTTTACCACGCCCTATCTATCAGCACTACGCTTGCTTAGCGCGTTAAATCCAGGTTCAGGCCCTAGCACTGAAAAACAAAATCGTTAAGCAGCAGATTAATTCATTCCCACAAAGTCTCTACTTCTTCAGCAGAATTTTTGAGTTGAAGGACATGCAAAGACAGTGCTCACTGTCAGACACTAGGAACTTCTTGCAGGACTTCCTACCAGAAATTTGTCAGCTCCAGCACTTTTTAGGTCGGGGCCGCTCAACCTCGAGCAGGGAGCTTGAGCCCCGCCCCCAAGCCTCGCGCGTACGTGGAGGAGGCGCGTTACTGTGGAGACAGGCACGCCGCGCAGGCGTACTTGGGGAAGGTGGAAGTCAGTTGTGGACGTGAGGGCGGCCATTTTGAGACCGGGCAAGCGGGGTGGGATTGGCGCTGCCGAGCAACGGTTGACCGGTTTTAACCAAGTGACTGGTAAGTGGCGCCAGGAGAAGAGGGTGGTGCCATCCTGGGGGGATGCGGGGGGCGGGGA